TACATGGCACAAAAACCAACAAAGAGATTTTGTCTCAAACTTTATACAAGCTCTGGAGTACATGTTTGTCCATATTCACACACACATACCTCATACACACACACTCACATGCTGGTATATGCACATTGGGTATATACACATTGATAAATACATTGATAAATACAAAATGTAAAAGAAAAGATGCATTATATACTGGGCCCAAGTGCAACGTGGGCACAGATGGTCCTTTGGATATCATTTCCCACTATTGTGGACATGGCTTCAGCCCCGAGTCATGGTTGAGGGTTCTTTACCATGTAGACACCAGGCACCTCTGTCCTTCTGCTTCACATACCGGTCATGAGGTGCTGCCTGTATGTCCTCTGAGGACTATGGCGCTCTAGGCTGTCTGGGAAGGAAGGAACAACACAAGAAAGACAGTAGCAACGAGTAGAGGCTGGGTAAGCCATGTGTGGACCAGCCTGCCTCCTGGGGACATCTGCTTTTGGTCACCCCCTGGTTGGGCAGCTTTGTGACAGGCATGCTCATGAATTGGCAGTCACCTCAGCAAATGGCTTTTGTTGACATTTTGTTACAAAGACTGTGCGCTCCCTTCCTGGGCTTCAAAGCTAGCCTGGGCTACAAGGCACAGACTTTGTGGATAGGCAGCTGTGGGGAGGTGGCTGACTTAGAGCCTACATTTCAGGTGGCACGACCCAACAAAAGTCATTCCTCAATCCCAGCACTTAGGAGCAGAGGCATAACGACTGGGAGTTCACTCTTAATCGTTGGTTTGAAGCCAACCTGGGCTACAAGAGACCCTTTCTCAAAGACCAAACAAACAAAAGGAAACACAAAAAACTCTAGCCCAAATAACAACATAGTAACCAAACCAAAACACATTTCCTAATGACCAGGAAGGAACAATGCCAGGTTCTGGACAATGTGACAAAAGAAACCAGTCAGACTGGACTGTGGCAATGGGCAAAGTGGGCAGGGTTTTAGTATAATGGGACCGTTTTCCCCTGAGCTGTGCTTAACCCAGGGTCCCAAGGTCCCACTTATCAAAGGTCAGCCTGAGACGGTGGCTTGAGATGAACATGAAAGGCAATGATGTTCTTGTTCTAAGCTGCCCATTCAGCTGGAGGTGGTTGAAACTTCACTCCTGTCCATCTCTGACTCTTGACTGTGTGTGTGTGTGTGTGTGTGTGTGTGTGTGTGTGTGTGTGTTTGAGACCTCAGGTTCTTGCTATGCCATCTTATCTGTCCTGGAACTAGCTCTTGTAGACCAGGCTGGCCTCAAACTCACAGAGATCCTCCTGCCTCTGCCTCCAAAATGCTAGGATTAAAGGCGTGCGCCACCACCGCCTGGCTTGAGACAGGTTCTTGCTATGCCATTTTGTCTGTCGTGGAACTGGCTATGGAGACCAGGCTGGCCTGTGTTGAACTCATAGAGATCCACTTGCCTCTGCTCCCAGAATGCTGGGATTAAAGGTATGTGCCACTATGCCAGGCAGTTGTTTGAGTGAAGTAATTTACACTCTTCTCCTCTTATTCATATTCTCTCTCTCTCTCTCTCTCTCTCTCTCTCTCTCTCTCTCTGGTCAGTCTCACTATCACCCTGTGCATGGGACTGAACCAGGGCATCACACATGATGGGCAGTTACTCACTATTGCGCTGTATCTCCAGCCTCCCCATGCTTTCTTCTTGGTTTTTTGTTTTTATTTTTAGGCAGGATCTAACTGTATAGAACAGACTATCCTAGAACTCCTACTTATCTTACAGCTCTTGATGCTAGGATTGCAGGCCTGCTGCATCACTGTACCCAACTTCCTCCATCCTCTGGGAAGTGGTCCAGAGTGATCTCGACTGGGGCAGGATGGAGCTGGTGCTTGCTTCTGCTTTCATAAGATTGGCTTTATATTTATATTTATATTATTTTATTTTTAGCTTTTCGAGGCAGGGTTTCTCTGTTTAGTCCTGGAACTTGCTATTTAGATCAGGCAGGCCTCACAGAGATCCTCCTGCCTCGGGTTCCTGAGTACTAGAATTAAAGGTATGTGCCATCATGCCGGGCCTAAGACAAGCTTATTTAAAAGAGAATGTGAGCCAGTGAACTGAGGGTAATGTGGGTAAGGGTGCTGGTTGCCACTTTATGACTTAAGTTTGGCCTCTGGAACCCATATAGTGTAAGAAAAGAATCAGTTCCCAAAAGTTGTTCTCTGACCTCCATACATGTACACACATGGCTAAAGAAGTAAATATAATTAAAAATATTAATAGAGGGATGTGTCATGTATGATACAGGAAACTCAGGGAAAAGTCACTCCAATTCCCATTTAGCCTTTGTTGTCCCAAATTCCTGGAACTTCCCATGACCTCATTGTGCTTTTGCTCCTAATTGTTCAGGACCGTGGCCTTCTCTGATGGAACTCAGACTGGAGTGGGGTCACAGACAGTGGTGGTTTTGCTATTGGGAATCGAGTCCAGGACCACTCACTTTCCAAATGAGCCCTCACCCGAGGAGTTATCCTCCTAGATTACTCCCCCTATTTATTATGAAACAAGCTCACTACATTGCTCTGGTTGGATTTGAACTCTTAATCTCCAAATTCAGCCTCCCAAGTGCTGGGAGTACAAAGAGGATGCAGCATGCATGGCTTAGAGATGATATAAATTTGTGGGGTCGTGCTGGGGTACAGCTCAGTGACAGAGGGCTTGCCCGGTATATTTGAGGGCTTGGCTTCCATCCTCAGTTCCACCAGCAGATATTTTTAAAAGTAAATGCTGCGTGCACACAGGTAATTCTGTTGACTGCCAGAGATGGCTGTGGAAGTTAAGTATGCCTGCCAGCATCCAGGAAAGCACAGTGCCAGGTGAACTTAGATGTTATTCGTGGTGATACCAAAGCTTGGGTTTGCAAAACGTCTTCCACAGAGATGCTTTGTTTCGAGAGACTCCATTTATCACTGGGAACAAATGATGCTGGGCTTTGACTCTAGCTCGGCCTGATGCTGTTGAGAGACCAAGTAAGTAGGCAGCTGTCACTGGGCCTTCGTGTGTGTGTGTGTGTGTGTGTGTGTGTGTGTGTGTGTGTGTGAGCACACACATGCATATGAGTGCAGGTGCCCTCAGAGGCCAGAGATATCAGATCTCTGTATCTTGAGTTAGGGTGCTGGTAACCTAATTCTGGTCCTCACACTCTCTTACACTAAGCCATCTTTCCAGTTCCCAAGATTTGTTGCTTGTTTTGCATCAAGGTATCATTGTGTAGCCCTGGCTGGCCTAGAACTCACAGCGCTCCTCTGCTTCCCCAGTGCTGGCGTTAAAAGCAAAAGTAACCACGCCGGGCTTGTTTTAGTGTTGTGCCTATGGCTGTGTGCGTGCACCACCTGCATACAGTGCCCGAGGAAAACAGAAGGGGGTATCGTTTTAATTGTTTCACACACATATTACCGCAAACCAATAGCGAGCCAAGGACCCTGGGCACAGGACTGTGGTCTTGTTTCTTTGCCCTCACACACACTAGTCAAGTGCTCTACCACCTCTGAGTTAAGTCCACATCTCTTATAATTTGGATTTTCTCTGAAGCGGTAATATTGGAGAATTCAGACTAAGGAATTTAAACGTTAATCCCAGTGCTGAGGAGCCATAGTGCTTCCCTTTAAGGAGCGGGATGTGATGGGGCCAGAGTGGATCCATATTTCTGTCTCTTGCTACCTGGTGATAAAGGAAGGGCAGCTGAGCTGGCAGCAGTGTGGGCAGGAAGGGTAAGCCTGGGCACTAGTGGAAGAGAGAATGCTGTTTGGCCGACCTGCTTTGAGAATCTGAACGTGAGCAGGCATGTGCATGAGCTCCTAACATCTTCCGAGTTTCCCAAACTCATGCTAAGTAGAAGTGAGACTGAGGGCAGGTGACTTCTGCAGCCAGCCCTATAAGCCAGGGCTTTGTGTGAGCCTCAGCAAATCCTCAAGTTGTTTAGAGATGAACTGTTCAGTTGTGTGTATGTGTGGGGTGGGGCCTGGCCCAGCGGCTCTCTCGAAATATAGCTGCTCTGTAGGAGTCACATGTAGGAAGTGGGGAAGTGAAACGGATGGGCTGTCAGGACTTTGGTACCTGTGGCTCCTGGGACTCAGGATCTCCCACGTGCTAGACAAGTGCTCTCCTGCTGAGCCACACCTAGCTCCCAGGTGGCTGCCTTCGACTTGTTTACACATTCAGTAAACTGTGCAGCCCTTGCCAAAGCGCTACACCCGGGCTCTCACCCTGCTCACAGTGGCCCCGGGAAGGAGGCAAGCAGGCATTATCTTCATGGTCTCCGTTTGGTTTTAATTAATTTATTTTTAAAAATTTATTTATTGCATTTTACATATGTGAGGGTTTTGCCTGCATATGTACCACCCACATGCATGGTGACTGCCGAGGCCAGAAGAGGGTGCTGTATCCCCTGGAACTATAGTTACAGATGTTTCTGAATTATCATGTGGGTGCTAGGAATCAAACGAGTCTCCTAAAGATTGCCCTTGCTCTTAACCACTGAGGCATCTCGCCAGTCCCGATTTATTTTATGTGTATGAGTGTTTACTTGCATGAATGTGTACCATGTGCCTGTCTGGTGCTCACGGGAATCAGAAGATGCTGGATGCCCTGGAACTGGAGTTGCAGAGAGTTGTGAGCTGCCATGGGGGCTGCTGGGAACAAAATCCAAGTCCTTTGTAAGAGCAGAAAGTGTTCTTACTGCTGAGCCATCTCTTAGCCCCAGTGGTCTCCAGGTCTCCTTTTCATAGGAGGCTCACAGATAGAAAGTGACTTTTCTGAAGTTACCTAACTAATCGTGTCAGAAGCTGTGTGTGTGTGTGTGTGTGTGTGTGTGTGTGTGTGAGAGAGAGAGAGAGAGAGAGAGAGAGAGAGAGAGAGAGATATTCAGACTATCAGAGCCAAAGTCCCTGACTTCCAGACCCGCCTCTCCATAGCTCCCCTAGTCATGGAACTTAACAGTGTCTACTCTACCTTGTTCTAGGGAAGCCGGTTCCTGAGAGCACACCTCCTCCTCCAGCCTTCCCAAAGGCTGTGAAGCCAGGCCCTGTGGCTACTCCTGGAAGAAACCTCAAGGACGAACAGGAAAAGGGCCAGCCTGTGAAGCCGGGCTCCGTTCTGGGCACAGGTGCTCTCCTTTCTCTTCCTCTTCCTCTTCTGGGTTTTAGGTTTATTTTTATTTTATGTGTATGCGTGTTTCACTTGCGCATATGTATATGGACTGCTTGTGCATAATGCCCATGGAGAGGAGAAGAGGGTGTCAGATCCCCTGGAACTGGTGTTAGGGATCGTGTGCGCCACTGTGTGGGTTCTGGGAATCAAACCCAGGCCTCTGCAAGAACAGCCCATGCTCTTAATTGTTGAGTCATTCTTTGCAGCCCCACAGGTATTCATGGGTTATTTTTTTCTTTTGGTGTGTGTGTGTGTGTGCGCGCACGCGCGTGTGCGCACGTGTGTGCATGCATCAAAACACACTGTGCAAGTGAATTAGAAAAGGAGAAACATCCAGGTGTGCCTGTAACCGAGCTATTTGAGAGTCTGAGGCAGGAGGATCGTGTGAGATCAACCCTATTCTGAGTGGGAAGTGCATACCCGTGATCCAGCTTTCTTCAGGAGGTTGAGGGTAGGAGCCTTGTGGCCCAAGGCATGCTTGGCATGCACAGGGTTTGCCTTTAATCCTCAGCACCCCCCCCCCCAATCTCTAAATGTGTTAAGTAAATAAATAAGTACATTTCTGGGGGGAGGGGAGCTGATGATGGAACCCTGGGCGTTAGGCGTGCAAGCTTTACCACTGAGCTTCCCCAACCCCTGGCCCTTACCATTTTCATCAGAAGAAAATAATAAAGATTTGTTCAAGGTGACTTAAGTCCTGGGATTAGAGCACTCCTGTCTCTCGTACTGTATACATGCACTACAGTCCCAGAGACTTGCAGAGCACGTTACATGTGTGTCCAGCCTCTTGTGCTCAGGCTAGAGCTGAGGGACAATCAGTCAGATGCCAGGAGGACAGCCAGTGGTGACTTCTCCAGGGCTTGCTTCTCCACTCCTATAGCCCATGACCTATAGCTTAAGATCCCAGACCTATGGCATGCAGCTCACTGAGGGACCTGAAGCCAGCCAACCCTTCTGGGAGAAGTCACTCTTAGGGGGCTTGGGCCTGAGGCCAACCCCCCTGTGCTTGAATTCACTCAGCCTCTTCATTCCTCAGTTCCTCCATCTGTAAAATGGGTACGAACAGAGCCTATTATATCCTATTGCAGAGAATCAGCTGGATGTGGCTGTGTCTGCCTGTCATCTCAGCCTGGGATGAACTGGGGAAGCAGAGGCTGGGGGATGAATGCAAATTCCAGACCCACTGGGTTTCTTGTGTGTGTGTGTGTGTGTGTGTGTGTGTGTGTGTTTGTGTTGGTGGGCAGGGTCTACAAACACTAGAGCTGGCCAAGTAACATCTGCGTCTGCACTAGGCACGAATGAGTAGCCAGTGTTGGTTCAAGCTTCCAGAGTCTGACCTTGGACAGTTTATTTTAGGCATTTTTAAATACAGTACAACTTTGGTAGAAAGTTTCCTGGTGATCATTACCACAATAAAGCCTAAAGCATGACTCTATTGAAACTCTTTTGCAAAGTACTGTGACCTCTTCCATAAGAGTGGATTTGTTTTGTTCAGATCCACTGGGAGAAACCTGAGACTTAGACTCAGTTCAAATTCAGGTTAAGGGCGTTTATTCTTACCGCTAGCTGTTCATTTCTTTCCCTCTGTGTAGTAATAAAAGGACCATTTCCTCCCTTTCCCATAGCCAGAGGGAATTTTACAGAAGCGAAGCAGCTGTTAATTCCTCACAGCCCATTATCCTATTCTTCTTTTTAAAAAACAATTTACTTAATTTTACGTGCACTGGTGTGAGAGCATCAGATTCCCCGGAACTGAGCTGGGATGTAGATGCTGGGAACTGAACCCAGGTGGTCTGGCAGAGCAGTCAGTGCTCCTAACCACTGAGCTATCTCTCCAGTCCCACCCTTCCCCCTCCCATTATTCTATTCTTATCTCACCTACAGACCCCTGGGATGTCCCAGGCATCTCAGAGCAAAGGCCAGTGGTCCTCAAGGGATGCCTGACTCAGAACTAAATGTCTTTAGTCATCACAGGGGCCTGTGTCAGGTATTACTCGGTCTGTGCATTCTAATGACTGGGAGAGAACGGCTCGTTTCTGGGCAGGCAAAAAGACACAGATCACAGTGCCATGCATGGATTCTAGCTGGGTGGGGTTGGCATATGCCTTTAATCCCAGCCCTTGGGAGGCAGAGGCAGGTGGGTCTCCTAGTTCGAGGCCAGCCTGGTCTACAGAGTGAACTCCAGGGCAACCAGGACTATACAGAGAAACCCTGTTTCAAAAACCAAAACAAAGAGAGAAAGAAACAAAAAGAATGGATTCTATAGCTTAGGGGCTTAGGGGAAGATCTAGTGTGATCCAGGTCACGAGGAGGCAGGTAAGAAGCAGAGTGAGCACAAGGATCTACAGTGCCCTCTACAGTCTTTTTTTTGGCTAGTGGGGGGTCCTTTTTATTTATTTAATGAATTTCTTTAAAATTTTATACATTTTAATAAAATATAATCACATCATTTCTCTCTTCCCTGTCCTTCCCCAACTCTCTAAGTCCCCCTCCCTCCAACTCCTTCTGTCTCACCCATCTCTCACACTGATAGCCTCTTCTACCATTATTGTCACACACAGTCACACACACACAGTCACACACAGTCACACACACACACAGTCACACACACAGTCACACACAGTCACACACACACTCACACACAGTCACACACACACTCACACACACTCACATACAGTCACACACAGTCACACACACTCACACACACTCACATACAGTCACACACAGTCACACACAGTCACACACACACTCACACACAGTCACACACACACTCACACACACTCACATACAGTCACACACAGTCACACACACTCACACACACTCACATACAGTCACACACAGTCACACACAGTCACACACACTCACACACAGTCACACACACACTCACACAGTCACACACAGTCACACACACTCACACACACTCACATATAGTCACACACAGTCACACACACAGTCACACACACAGTCACACACACAGTTACACACACACAGTCACACACACAGTCACACACACACACAGTCACACACGCAGTTACACACACACAGTCACACACAGTCACACACACAGTCACACACACACAGTCACACATACAGTTACACACACACAGTCACACACACAGTCACACACACAGTCACACACAGTCACACACACAGTCACACACACACAGTCACACACACACAGTCACACACACAGTTACACACACACAGTCACACACACAGTCACACACAGTCACAGTCACACACAGTCACACACAGTCACACACACAGTCACACACAGTCACATACACACACTCACACACAGTCACACACACACACTCACACACAGTCACACACAGTCACACACACACACACTCACACACAGTCACACACACACTCACACACACTCACACACAGTCACACACAGTCACACACAGTCACACACAGTCACACATAGTCACACACACACTCACACACACACAGTCTCACACACACACAGTCACACACACACAGTCACACACACACATGCATATGTACATATAAATATATAAATGCAACCTGCTGTCCACTTTTGCTGTTTGTGTGTATGTGGTTATCAGGGCTGACCAATTTGCATAATGCAACCAATTTGGGGGCTTGGAGGCTAATCCTCTCTTAGTCAGAGGCCTGTAGTTAGTCATCCCAGGGTGTGACCCTGTGAGCGGCTCCCTTTCTGCATTAGAATATCTATTGATGTTGCCATTATTCAAATCTTATTTATACAGTCATTTATATGAGAGGCTGTTTCACAGTGGACTCTCTGGTATTTTAGTTCATACAGTCTTTCTGTCCCCTCTTTCACAAAGGTCCTGGGCCATAGATGGAGCTGTGATGTAGATGCATCTGTTGGGGCTGGGCGCCTCACAGTCTGTTATCTGTGTGCTGTGTCCAGTTGCCCTCTACAGTTTTTTTATTTTTTATTTTTTGGTTTTTCGAGACAGGGTTTCTCTGTAGCTTTGGAGCCTGTCCTGGAACTCCCTTTGTAGACCAGGCTGGCCTCGAACTCAACTCACAGAGATCCGCCTGCCTCTGCCTCCCGAGTGCTGGAATTAAAGGCGTGCGCCACCACCGCCCGGCTCCTCTACAGTTTTTATAGCTCGTTCCAGACCAGGGCTGCGTAGTGAGACCCTGTCTCAGAAAGGAAGACAGAGAGAGCAGACATGGGGATGGAGGCACAAAGGGGGACATGGACCACCCGGGCAGGACAGGACAGTTTACCTTAGGTCGTGGAGTCTGGACTTTACCCTGTGACTGAAGGAAGGGGAGAAGACATGTGGCCTGTAAATTCCAATGAATGGGATTCAGACCCGTGCCAGCCTGCTGTTCCTTTGCCAAAGTGAGAAAGACCGTGGATGAGGAGGTGGGGGAGAATGGAGAGGTCACAGGTGCCCCTCTGTCCCTTCACTGCCAGCCTTCGTATGGCTCACTTTCCTGAGTGCCCTGGGTCACTGAGCCTGTCCCTGCAGTCCCTCCCACAGAGAAGGAAGTTACTCTTGAGTATTTGTAGTTGGAAACACGAGTCATTCTTTCCACGTATCACAGATGCCTGTCAGCCCTGGGAAAGCCCCGGATTCCAGGACCGTGTGCTACCCAGGGAAACCAGTGTTGGAGGAAGTTTTTATTGTAGAGGAAAAGTTCAGGCACTCAGGGTTGTGTTTTGGAAGCTTTTCTGTAGAGATGAATGGGCCCTCAGTGTGTCCCTGCCCTTCCGTGAACCTGTGCAGCGTTCAGCAGACTGAAAGTCACACACTTAGGCTCTCTGTGAGTCAGCTGTGGCAGCTATGTGTGGTGGTTTGTGGTGCAGTGTGTGTGTGTGTGTGTGTGTGTGTGTGGTAACAGTGTGTGTGTGTCGTGTGTGTGTTGTGTATGTGCCGTGTGCGTGTTGTACGTGTTGTGGGGTGTGTCCATGGCTGCTTCATCTGCTGTGTTGCTGTGCCTTGCCCCTCCATCTGGGGAAGCCTTACACAAGTCTTTGAAAACTCTGAAGACTGGGAAATCCCTGCTGGGTAGTGGTGACACACACCTTTGATTTTGGCACTGGGGTGTAGACGGACGCTGTAAAGTAGGCCCACAATAGTTCAGAATTGAGTATAATAAAGGTTCTTTATTTAGGGGTAGACTCACAAATCACAGCCCTCTGCACAAGTGGGGAACAGGAACCGAATCCAGCAGCAGAAAGAGAGAAAGAGAGAGAGAGAGGCCATGCCCAAGTGGGATAGTATCTTAAAGGCTATTGACTGAAGGAGTTCCTGCAGCACCTTCCCCTTTTGTCTAATTCTAAGCCTAATACAAAGCTATACACAATAAGAACAAATATCGAGTACAAAAATTAGAATTACAACCAGCATAAACAATATCAAGCAAGAAATATATGCTAAATGTTTTGATAATTATTCTATCCTAAGGAGTCTAAGTCTTGTATTAGAAATGACTTGGCCAAGTCATGAAAGGAAAGTAACTACAACTATCTAGTCTTCAACCCCATTGTATATCTGAGAAGGGAAATAATATTACTTGAGTAGATAGGAAGTGCAATCAAGAAACTTCCAAAAATGTGCAATAAATGACAGAGACAACTGGGTAATCACCCAAAGTCTCATTTGCAACGTTGGAGCAACCAGCTTTGGCTAAGGCCTAGAGTAACTGTCAGACCATTTTCAGAGGCAGGAGGTTTCTCTGTGTCCTCGGCTGTTCTTTGCCAGGCAGTGGGACAGCACAGGCGCATCCCGCATCCTGTGACCTGGGTTGCTTGTGGCACCTCCTGCTTCCCCGTCTCTTCCTGTCATTAGAGATGGTAAATTGTTCATGTTGTAAGATGTCACCAGGCTTAAAAGCACTGACAGCCAAGGAGCTTGTCGGCTGGCACATGGTGTCAGCACTGATTGAGAGGGGTGGCTTCGGGGTGAGTCCCAGGCAGGGTGCTGACCCTGTCATCCTTTCCAGGGACCTTGGCTGGAGTCCAGCAGCAGGCCTCACACCAGCTTCCATCCAAGGAGGATGCCCCTTGTTCCTTGAAAACTGACCAAGCCGACTCTCCCCAGTCTAAGGTAAACCCACCCTTGACTTCTATCCCAGCTGGGTCCTGGCTTGTGGTTCTCTCAGAAACACAGTTTCTTCATTCCCTGAGACAAGTGTGGGGGCAGGGAGGACAGGGAGACCCATTCTCTGCAAGCTTCTGAGACTAAGTATAGTCATCGGTGAGATGAGGGGCCTCTGCTGCTCTGAGCATGGGGTGCTTGGTGGGGTTGTTTCTTTGGGGTGTAATTCAGGGCCTAATGAAGCACCCTAACACTGAGTCCCAGCATAGGCCAGGACTCATATTTGCCATAGTGGCGATTTGAACCCAGGGCCCTTTGCATTCAACCACTGAACTATAAGCACCGTCCGTTTTTGTTATGCTTTGAGACAGGCTCTTACTTAAGGTTCACAGACAGGCCTTGAACTTGCGATCTCCCTGTCTCAGGCTCTGGAGGGGCAGCCTGGAGGACAGGCCTGCACTACCAAGTCCCACAGGACCTCTGTTTGCTGTGGCCCCTTGTAAGCAGGAGCTGATGTGTGCAGTTACATGAATTGGTTTACAACCACCAGCCTTTCCCACTTTCTTGTTGGAGTTGAGCAACAGTCAGAGTGGTCCTGCACTTTGACTTGGTTCCAGAATGTGCTATGACTTTATTCCCGTGGGCACTTTCACCCTCATTTACTAACACTCCCAGGTAGTCTTGTGACTGTATTGGTAGTAAGATGACTGCAATTCACACTGGGTTAGAAATGAAAGCCTTGGTTTGGGGTGCTGCTCAGTGTTATAGCCCTGGGTTCCACCCCAGCCAAGGGAAAAAAAGAAAAAGGAAACAGGTTGCTACTCTTTGGGGCAGGGTTCCATGTAGCTCATGCTGACTTCAGACTCACTGTGTAGCTGAGGATACCCTTGAACTTTGGATCCTACTGCCTTCCCCTCCCAAGTTATTAGACAGCAGTCTTGTGCCCCCACACCCAGTTTCTGTGTGCCAAGGATGGAAGTCAGGGCCTGTGCATGTCCGGCAAGCACTCTGCCAATGGGCTGTATCCCCGCCAGTATTTATTTTTGAGACAAGGTCTCACTGTGAACCTCAGTCTGGATTTGAATTTGTGATCCCCCTGCCTTAGAGTTCCAAACTCCACGATCATAGGCAGGAACTACCATGCCCAGATTTTTCTTCTGATCTGAAAATATCATTTAAGTCAGGAGTGGTAACTCTTGCCTTTAATCCCAGCACTCGGGAGGCAGAAGCAGGCAGACCTCTGTGAGTTCAAGGCCAGCCTGGTCTGTATAGTGAGTTCCAGGCCAACTAGAGTTGCATAGTTTTGTTGTAATATGAGCGGCAGGGCTGCGTCCCCAGCACCCCGGCTGCCTGCTAGTTTATGCCCCGAAATAATTACACGGACACTGTATTCTTTTAAACACTGCTTGGCCCATTAGCTCTAGCCCTTACTGGCTAATTCTGATATCCTGATCAACCCATCTCTAATAAACTGTGTAGCACCAGTCTTACCGGGAAAGATTCAGCATGTCTGACCTGGCAGCTTGCTTCATCGTGTGCGTCTCAGAGAGCAGAGCTATCGCGTCTGCCCGGGAGAGGGGAGCATGGTGTCTCTGAGCTCACTTCCTCTTCCTCCCAGCATTCTGTTCTGTTTACTCCACCCACCTATGTTCTAACCAATAAAATGGGCCAAGGCAGTTTCTTTATTAGCCAATGACTTTCCTCCATCAACATAGAAATCCTGTTAAAAAGAAAAAGGTATTTTAAAAATCCATATTCTTGAGAAATTATGGGTTTGGTACCTGGGCAGGAAAGTGGCAGTTCCTGGGGCTGGTTAATGAACCTCTCCCGTGATTTAGTTAATCATTTTCAGAGATGCTTGGATCATTGAGGACCTTTAATCCCAGCACGGGGAGGAAAGCTGTGCAGGTCTCTGAATATTTGAGGCCAGCCTGGTCTACATAGTGTGTCCAGGCCAGTCAGGGCTACACAGTGAAACTTTGTCTCAGAAAAAAAGGAAAGTTTCTATTTGGTTTTCTTTTCTTCTTTTGATTTTTGCACGTCATCTTTAAAATTTTATTCTCTATTTATGTATGTTGTGTGTAGTATGTGTATGCATGCGTGAGGGCATATACACGACATGGCACACATACGGAGTTAGCGGACAACTTTCAGGAGTTCACCATTTATGCCCTGGGGATTGAACTCAGCTCACCAGGCTTTTCCAGATGCTTTCCCCAATGAGCCGTCTTTCCAGCCCCACTCTCATTTTTTGACAAATCCTCGTGTATCTAACCAGCAGGAGACCCGTTTGTCTTTAATAGCCTCCAATTCCCGAGAACTACCGATAAAGGCAAATGTAACTTCAAAAAAATAAGTTTCTGTGCACCTGTGTGTGAAAAGGGAGGTCACAGAAGCCTGACTTCTGTTTCTGGTCTTCCATAGTGCCAGGCTTAGAATCTCTAGCTCCACTCAGAGAACTGTGCGGTTATTTGAACATTCGCACTGGCAGGTATAAGGCCTATGGAGTCTTTGTTACCACTGGTAACAAGATGAAAGCTTCCAAAGTATTCCAGGGTCCCCCCTGGGGAGCATGGAAAGCCAGTTCCCAGGGTGATCATTGTAGCTTTTTTTTTTTTTTTTTTTTTACTCTTTGGGGGTCCACCACCCAGCTCCCAAATAAATACATGGAGACTTCTGCTTATGAATGCCTGGTCTTAGCTTGACTTGTTTCTAGCCAGCTTTTCTTTTCTTTTTTTTCCGAGACAGGGTTTCTCTGTAGCTCTGGAGCCTGTCCTAGAACTAGCTCTTGTAGACCAGGCGGGCCTCGAACTCACAGAGATGGGCCTGCCTCTGCCTCCTGAGTGCTGGGATTAAAGGCGTGTGCCACCACCGCCCGGCTCGTAGCCAGCTTTTCTAACCTAACTTGAAGTATCCTGTTTCTCTTCTTCTACATTTTGCCTCTGAGCTTTTTACCTTTCTTTAGTCTCTATATCCTTTTTTTCCTTCTTACTCCATGGCTGGCTGTGTGGCTGGGTGGCTGGCTCCCAGCATCCTCCTTTCCTTGCTCCTCCCTCTTCTCTTTATGAGCTTGTATTTCTCCTATTTATTCACTACCTGGCAGCCCCAGCTGTTTCTCTCTCCTGCCTAGCTATTGGCTGTTCAGCTCTTTATTAGACCAATCAGGTATTTTAGGCAGGCAAAGTAACACAGCTTCACAGAGTTACACAAATGCAACATAAAAGAATGCAACACATCTTTGCATCGTTAAACAAATATTCCACAACACATCACCCGCTCTCCTTTCTCAATCCCCAGGACTGCAGCACTTCCACGTCTGTCCCCAAGCAGGAAAAACTTTTGAGTTTGCCCGGAGACAGGTTTTTCTGGAGTGAGGCAGATGTCATCCAAGCAACGGAGGACTTTGACCAAAGCCACCGAATCAGCGAGGGGACCTTTGCTGATATCTACCAGGGGCAAAGGCATGGTGTGGCCTTTGCTTTCAAGAAGCTCAGGGAGGTGAGCTGAGGGTGTCTGTAGGGAGGGTGGGTGGAGCCCTGGGGCTAAAGCCGGATGGATCTTCAGGGGCTGTGTCTTTTCCCATAGGTGGCCGGCTCGAGTCCAGGGCCCATGGACAGGTTCCTGCAGGCAGAGATGCAGCTTTGCCTCAGGTAGGTTTCCCGTGCAGAACCCCTGGCCTGATGATGATAGCAGGAAAACAGTGCCTCCTATCTGCCAGGCAATGGTTAGCACTGCCATTATTGTTTTGGGTCATTTTCTGTTGCTGTCACCTAGTGTCACAGACAGGGTGGTGTCTAAAGTACAAGTTTGTTTATTCATGGTTCTAGGAACTGGGAAGTTGGAGGGCGTTTGGTGAGGTTTCACGCAGTGTGTGGCAATAGTGGCCATCACGCTGTGAGACTGAGGGTCACTCCTCCTCTTCTTGTGTCGCCCTAACCCATGACCTCACCTAACACTAGTTACTCCTAAGCACCCTGCCTCCAGATACCTTTGATTATAAATCTGGGGATAAGTTCCCAACATACAAACTCTGGGGCCCATGCTCAGGGCACAGCATAGACAAGCTTGTTCCATCTCCACCAGAACTCTACAACACAGGGCCACAGCTATACAAGGCCACAGCTGGTAGGTGCAGAAGTTGGGGCCCAGTGAGGTTCAGTGTTTGGTTCAACACTACACAACCAGTAATTAGCAGAGCTAGAGTGTGAGCCTTCGAGACTGTGTCCAGAGACCACGCTTTTCTTTTCTTTTTTTTTTTTTTTTTTTTTTTTGGTTTTTTGAGACAGGGTTTCTCTGTGGTTTTGGAGCCTGTCCTGGAACTAGCTCTTGTAGACCAGGCTGGTCTCGAACTCACAAAGATCTGCCTGCCTCTGCCTCCCGAGTGCTAGGATTAAAGGCGTGCGCCACCACCGCCCGGCTGACCACGCTCTTTTTAAACAGCACATATATGCTTGGGTTAGAATTCTCAAGAAATCTTGGCTTGTTCCAACTCTTTCCATGTACGAAGAAAGAGATCCTTCCTGTCCCATTTTGAAACCGGCAGATGGACTGAGAGTCTGACAGCAAACTGATCTTAGAACCATAGCTCTCTAGACACGTGGGGACCATGGAACTAAGTCTGCCTCTGTGTGTCATACAACCTGAGAGCAGAGAATGGTTTTTATATTTCATTTCTTGAGACTAGGTTTTTTTTTTTATGTAGCCTGGTTGATCTGGAACTCATTATGTAGACCAGATAGGCCTCAAACTCACACAGATCCGTCTGCCTCGGCTGCCCAAGTGCTGGGATTAAAGGCATGTGCCAGTACCACCCAGCAAGTTTAGTGATTTTTATTTGTTGTTAGATTTGGGTTTGTTGGCATTTGTTTCTAGGACTTTCCATATGCTCTGTAGCTTGCTCCTGAACTGTATTCTCAGCCCTCTTTTTATACTGGGACAGGCCTTCACTAATTACTTCATCAGGTTTAGAATTTGTAATCCCATCTGGGTCCTCCCTCCTTCCCCCTCCCTCCCTCCCTCCCCCCCCCTCCCTCCCTCCCTCCCTCCTTCCTTCCTTCCTTGCTTGCTTGCTTTGAGACAAGGTATTATTATGTAGCTCTGGCTGCCCTGGAACTCACTATGTAGATCAGGCTAGCCTCAACTCACAGAGATCCTCCTGCCTCTCCTTCTGAGTGCTGGGATTAAAGTCTTACACCATCACACCCAGCTAGATATTTCTCTCATCATGCATATGAAAGACCACACAAATGTGTAACATGTATGCACTTATTTTGTGGAAACCAGGTATGTAGTTATGCCCTTTCTTCAACTCTGTGCTTTCCTGGATTGGTGGTTACTCCTTCGTTGTTGGTTTAGTAGCCCAGGCTTTCCCAGGTTAAAGGGAATGCTCAGCTCACTTGAGGCCAGGTGACCCCTGCCTTGTGGTACTCAGCAGACAGGCTGCAAATGACTAGCTAATGAGACAGGGAGGCAGCAAGATCTGACACAAGGCCGCCTGCAGTTGTCCTGCGAGGTGGGCTGGGCTGTGACCGTGAGGAGGACGTGGAAAACTGTGTGTAACAGTGCATGGTGATTCATGAGGCCAGAGGTTTCTGGGAGGCAGGAAAGAAGCGTCCTTTGCCCAGATAGACATGTGGAGCCTGAGATGTGGTTGGAGTCCTGAGAAAAGCCAGGAGGAGAGAGATGACTCAGACACGGGGAATCCCCAAGTTAAATCAACCTGAGGCGGTTGCGGTGGCCTCTAGCAAGTTCTTCATCCCTAAACTCATTTCCAAAAGTGGAGTGAGGATGGGGCCAGACTGCATAGCAGGGAAGTAGGGTGAGGCTATCTGGGATCAGAGCCTGCGGCACCTGGGATGCGGCTGGTGGCCTGGGATGGGACGGGAGGGTCTGCCTTTGACTCTTGCTCTTTGATGCCTGACTCTACATGCCTGGGTGCTGGGTTCAGATGCTGCCACCCCAATGTCTTACCTCTGCTGGGCTTCTGCACTGGAAGACGGTTCCACAGCCTCATCTACCCCTACATGGCAAATGGCTCTCTGCAGGACAGACTCCAGGCTAAGGTAAATAACTGGGTCATGGGTTGTGGTCAGATAATGGAGCAGATGGCTCCTGCCTAGGGGTCGGAAGGACTTAGAAGAGTGTTTGTTACCTTTCTTGAACGATTATACAATTCTCAATACAGACATCAATGCATCCTTTATTTTAATTTTTATTTATGGTAAGTTTTTGAGACAGGTCACACCAGTAGACAGGCTAGCCTCAAACTTGCTATGACCTTGAACTTCTGATCCTCCTGCCTCTATATCCTGAGTGCTAGGTTTGCAGACACATGCTACCATGTCTGTTTTATGCAATGCTGGGGAATCAAACCCAGGACTTTGTGAATGGTAGCGGACAGTCTATGACTTAGCTACATCCCCAGCTACTTCTTCCTCCTCCTTTTGGTGCCAAGATCAAATCTAGGACACTGTACATTCAAGGCAGGTACTCCACCCCTGAGCTTACTTCCAAACCTTCACATCTGTTTCACCCGAGGCAGCTGAGGCTCAGAGGCCTTGTCTCTCTTTCCCAAAGCCACATAGTTCACAGGCATCTGAACTTGGATTTACAAGTCAATGTATTCAACAAAAATACCATCACGTCAAACCAGTACCTCATGCTGACTGAGCCCTGTGACCAAGGGTGGCTTCTAAGGACTTTAGAATGGTGCAGGAGTGACTCTTTCTGTTCCTTGCCCTTTTCTCAGGGTGACTCAGACCTGCTGCCCTGGCCCCAGCGTGCCAGCATCTGCTCAGGGCTGCTTCTGGCTGTTGAATACCTGCATAGCCTGGACATCATCCATAGCAATGTCAAGAGGTAAGCTAGGCCTGCCTACCCCTCCAGCCCTGCCTTCGAGAACGAGGCCAGCCTCTGTTCTGACTTCCTCTCTCTCTCATCTCTCTCTCTCCTCTCCTCTGCACCCCCTCCATTGGGGACCTTAGCTCTCTCCTTAGGCCCTCAAAAGCCAGTACTTCTGAGGGGTGCTCTCTGTTCCCACCCAGCATGTGAAGCTGCCGCTGTCTGCGGTCTTTCTGAGCCAGTGTCCCTGCAGGCCACAGCACCCTAAACGTTCACACTCCAGCTGGGAGCTTTGCCAGCCTCAGGATCTGAGCTCCCCGTTTAAGCTTTTCTCAGTACCCGCCTTGCCTGTGTCTGTTGATGATGGGTCTTGTCAGGGAGGCTTCTTGTCCCCAACACTTTGGTTAAAGGGAGCGCTCAACTCACTTGAAGCCAGCTCACCCCTGCCTCATGGTACTCTGCAGACAGGCGGCAAATGACTAGTTAATGAGGCAGGGAGGCAGCAAGATCTGACACAAGGCCGCCTGCAGTTGTCCTGCGAGGTGGGCTGGGCTGTGACCGTGAGAAGGACTGTGTGTAACAGTGCATGGCGATTCATGAGGCCAGAGGTTTATTGGATGTCCAAGAGGAAGTAGTGTGGGAGAGATTCCAGAAGTGCCCAAAACATTTAGGAGAACCAGCCACCCTATGACCATAGATAGGCCTTGCAGCTGGTTCACCAAGGTTCCTCCCGCATGTGCCATGAAGATGCTCTCCTCTCCTGAATTTTATCTGATGGCACTAGCACCTATGCTGAAATGGGCATGAGAGCTGGCCATGGACCCACTGCCCAGCTTGGCAGGTCTGCTGACTTCTGGCTTGTGTGTGTGTGTGTGTGTGTGTTGGGGATTGCACTCAGTATTGAACATGCCCTGTGTGCTCTGCCCCCCATCTGCATCCTGGCTCATCGGCAACTTCTTGCTTTCTTCTCACACAACTCCTCATGACTAGGAGGCCCTGACTCTCAGTTCCTCCTCTCCTTTCTCCCCGTATTTGATCACGGGAGGTGTCTCTCCATGTTGCAAGGCATCCATGGTTTGTCATGATTTCTTATTCTTTTTTTAAAAATATTTATTTATTTATTATGTATACAATATTCTTTCTGCATTGTGCCTGAAGGCCAGAAGAGGGCACCAGACCTCATTACAGATGGTTGTGAGCCACCATGTGGTTGCTGGAAATTGAACTCAGGACCTTTGGAAGAGCAGGCAATGCTCTTAACCTCTGAGCCATCTCTCCAGCCCCGTGATTTCTTATTCTTGCCCATGTTTACCGAAGTGCTCCTAATAGTAGATATTGGAGTTGCTGGCCACTATAAAAAAGATTTTTAAACATTTTTTTTTCTTTTTGACTTATTGAGACAAAGTCTTGCTGCAGAGCAGAGCTGGCCTGTAACTCCTGTGTAGCCTAGGCTGGCCTTGAACTTGTAGCTGTCTCAGTTTCCTGAGCATTGGGTTTAGAGGTAAAGTACCACCGTGCCTGGTCTGCTATCTTCTTTTTCAAATACTGTTTGGTGGGCCAGTGAGATGGGTCAGTAGGTAAAGATGCTTGCTGCCAAGCCTAAATTTGATCCCTGAATTTACTCTATATTGCGGAAGGAGAGCCAACTCCAGCAAGTTGTCCCTCTGAGCTCCCCTTGAAAGATGGAGTGCGTGCTCCCTTCCGCCAAATAAATGCAATAAAGCACTGCTAAGGTTAGTTCTGTGCCTGAAACTTAGCCTTTGGTCTCCACTCCCTGGGGAGCTCTTTCTCCGAATTAGCTCCCTCCAAGTAGAACCAGGTCAAAGGAGATTATCACTTCTCTTTGAAATGTAAAAGTGGGTACTTTCCCTACCACCTGAGCAGAGTGAGTGGAGAGGAGGCCAGAGCTTGTCCTGGGAACAGCTTCGTAGAGTCTAAGCCAGCATGAGCAGTGGGCTGGCCTGCTGTGCTGGCTGGGGCTGACATCTGTGGAGGGGTGGGAGTCTGCATCTCTCTGGCCACATTCCTGGGGCAACTAGGCTAATGTTCAAGTCTATTCCCACTTAGTGGAGTGAGTGGGTTTCCAAGGTCCTACCCATTTATCGCTGGCGGTTTTATGTTGAGGGTCTTCTGTGACTACCTACCCCCCCCCCACACACACACCTTGCAGGACTGACACTGATCACTGCTAAATTGTTTGGCCAGGGGGCTGGAGAGATGGCTCAGTGGTTGGGAGCATTGCCTGCTCTTCCGGGGGTCCTGGGTTCAGTTCCCAGCGACCACATGGTGGCTCACAACCATCTGTAACGAGGTCTGGTGCCCTCTTCTGGCCTGCAGGCATATACACAGAGTATTGTATACATAATAAATAAATAAATATTTAAAAAATAAATAAATAAATTGTTTGGCCGGAGTGTCTCCACGGCAACCTCTTCGTCCCAAAGTTCAAAGGCTTTCTTCACTTGCTTTCCCACAGTGCCAACGTTTTGCTGGACCAACATCTTATCCCCAAACTGGCTCACCCGGTGGCTCACCCATGTCCTGCCGATAAAAAAACCAAATACACCGTCATGAAGACCCACCTGTTCCAGGCCTCGACTGCTTATCTGCCTGAAAGCTTCATCAGGGTGGGGCAGCTGACCAAGCAAGTGGACATCTTCAGCTGTGGAATTGTAAGGGTCTTCTCTGCATGGGGCTTGCGTGGAGGTGTAGTTGAGGCAGCCAGACTGTGACTCTAGGCCAGATCTGAGACAAAGCCTACTGTGGCATCTTTTTAAATCTTTTGTTTTAGTTGTTTTTAGATTATGGGTGCGCAGATGTGTGTGGGATGGGGTGAGATGGGGGGGGCTGTAGGTCAGGTGTCCTTCTCAGGTACTATCAACCTCCTTTGGTTCTGGGTCTTTCATTGGCTTATTGCTTACCAGTTAGGCTAGACAGTGGCCAGTGAACCCCGGGGACCCTCCTGTCTTTGTCTTCCCAAGTGCTGGGATTACAAGTGCATGCCTTAACACCTGGCATTTTTATGTGGTTTCTCAGGATCCGAACACAGGTCCTTATATTTGCAAAATGACCATTTCACTGACTGAGCTATGCCCCAAGTTTATCCCAGTTTTTCACTCTCCTTTTTTTTGGTGCTGGAGATAACTCCCAGGCCCCCAGTCATGCTAGACATGTGCTCTACCACTAAGCCATATTTCTCGTAAGTTATTTTTGTTGTTGTTGTTGTTGCAACGAGGTCTCACTCTATAGCCCAGGCTAGCTACTAATTTATAATCCTCCTGCCTCAGCCTTTAAGAAGCTGGAACTGGGGGCTGGAGAGATGACTCAGCGGTTAAGAGCACTGGCTGCTCTTCCAGAGGACCTGAGTTCAATTCCCAGCACCCAGATGGCAGCTCACAACTGTCTGTAACTTCAGTTCCAGGGCATCTGACCTGTTGTAATAGGAGCGGCGGGGCTGCGTCCCCAGCACCCCAGCCGCCTGCTAGCTTATGCCCCGAAATAATTACACGGACACTGTATTCTTTTAAACACTGCTTGGCCCATTATATCTAGCCTCTTCTCAGCTTGTAGCACCGAGGTGCGCTTACCGGGAAGATTCTAGCCTACGTCCATCCTGGGCCGGAGCTTTATCACATCTGCCTCAGAGAGCAGAGCTATCGCGTCTGCCCGGGAGAGGGGAGCATGGCATCTCTGAGCTCTTCCTCTTCCTCCCAGCATTCTGTTCTGTTTACTCTACCCACTTATGTTCTAACCAATAAAATGGGCCAAGGCAGTTTCTTTATTTTTTAACCAATGACCTTCCTCCATCACTGACCCTCACACCAATGAACATAAAATAATTAAAAAAAAAGTTTTTTAAAAAAAGAAGCTGGAACTGTAGGTGTGTGCCATTGGTCCTAACTTTTATGGTCTATTTTGTCTGGCTTCTGATAATCCTAGCATTTAGGGGATTGGGGCTGGAAGATAGCTTCTAGTTTTAGGCTAGTCTAGGCTACATAGTTAAGTTCTTGGTCAATTTGACCTTGTCTGAAAAACCCTTAAAGTAAAAACGGTGTAGACAGAAGCTGTATATGGTTGGTGAGTCTAGTACGTGCAGATATTATCTCTCAACTTTTTGATTCCCATCCACACTGCCGGCTTAGCCAACATTTCTTGCATCAGAGATCCACCTACCTCGGCCTCCCAAGTGCAGGGATTAAAGGCGAGTGCCTCCCCGCCCAGCTCAACACATCTTTCCAACATGCATTTATCATTCCTGTCATAGTCACGTCTGTAGTCAGTGTCCAGCTGCCTCTCCTGTGTACTTCCTGCTTCATGACTAGGTCCCAAGGGCTCGGAGCCCACCCAGCCTGATGGTCTGCTCAGTTTGTCTTGAGGACACTGACTCCTCTCCATGTCTGCAGGATGGGAGCATTCAAAGGGCTTAGTGGACACATAGGTTTGGGAGATACTGTTAAAAGCCAAGTAGGTTTTTCATTATAGTTAAGAGGAGCTTTTAACAGGATGGTGACCCTATGACCTGCATGACCCCATGACCTGGGTTGTAAACTCACCAGAGAATGCTATGCAGGCTTTCCTAGCTTCACTTGGCGGTGGAACCTTGATTTCTTGGTGTGTCTGTCTGCCGTGGTGTTCCACAGAATCCACTTGGGTAATGCTGCCTGAGAAACCCAGTCTGTTTGCCTGCAGCCACACTCTGGCCTCTGCACACAGGCCTTTGCCTCTGTCCTCCTCCCTGTCTTGAACTTTGTACTTCCTCTTCTTGACCACAGTCTCCTCTCTGTCCACATCTACCCCTGAAGCCCACACTCTCAGCTGGACCTCTGTGTATGAGATTCAGCTTCTGTCTGGCCCTGGCTGGCCTCTCGGCTGCCTCCCATCGTCTCCACAACCCCCTGCAATTCCCTGTGAGCACTTCAGTGAGGCAAGCGGCCCTACTTGAAGAACCAGTGGCTCTCTGGTAGGAGAGACAGGGGAACTTCCCAGAGAATCTAGGCAATTTAAAAAGACTATCTCAAAACAAACAAAACAGAATCAAACAAAAGGAAAAAGAAAAAAGCAAGTCAGAACAAACCAGTAGGGCAGACCTTTTAGCCACCAGGCAGTATGACCTAATCCAGTAAAATTTCAGTCATGTAACTCCTGCCTACTCCATGTCTGGACCTCAGTTTTACCTTCTGTAAAATGGGGTTAGTGGTGCGGATAGAGAGTGATCTAATTCGGATTATTGTGTCGGTTGGAGGGGCTCATTGGGGTGCAGAAACTTTTCACTGAATCAAACCAAATCAAACCGAATTAGGAAAAGCCCAGGTTTAATGGATACCAACACTTCTGGATGGCTTTCCAGCCCCCGCCCCCCCCCCCCCCCCCCAAGAGGAGATGGGGAAGGAAGACTAGAAAACCATGTGTTTTTTTTTAAATACCCTTTGGGAGGATCTTGAGCATCTCTGGGGAGGGGTCATCATTTGGTGGGCTCTCTCAGGGGTGGAGTCTGGACTGAGGCAGCTCCCAGGGGAGGGTGCTTGGGGTGGAATTTCCACCTGAACAGAGAGACTGTCTCAAATAAATAAATAAATAAATAAATAAGTGAAACTTCAAAAGAGAGTAATGGGTAATGAGATGCTGTGTATAAAAGGGTACTGTAGTACTAGTGCGTGTGTGTGCACGTGCGCGCGTGTGTGTGTGCGTGTGTGCAAACATGTACAGGTGTGCACATGCCACAGTGCGTGATGGGTCAGAAAACAACTATCGGAGTTGCTGCTTCTCTTCTGCCTCCTTTTGGGATCAAAATCAATGATCTGGCCTGCCTGCCACTGCCTCATCTTGCCCGCTCTATCTTAGTGGGTTTTGATTTTATTTTGTTTTTGTTGTTTGTTTGTTTTTTTGTGGGGTGTTGTTTGTTTGGGTAGCTTTGGCTGTACTGGAACTCATTCTGTAGATCAGGCTGGCGTCAATATCTCAGCGTTTTTATGGCCACTATGTAACCGTTGTCAGGGACTCGTTCCTTCTAGAACCACAGGGCTGAGACAGAGAAGGCGTTGTCCGGTCTATTGGATCGTTTCCCATCAGCTGATCCACTCCCCCTTCTGTTGTGGCACGCTGTGCTGCCCTCTGCTGGCCACCGCCAGTGTGCTCCTCATTGCCCTAGGAGCAGGGTCGCCTCAGTGGCCAGCGTCTGCTCTAACTGCTGCAGGAGGGTGCGGGAGAAGCTTGACACAGGCCAGCTGTTCACTCTGTAGCACAACTGCTCTACCACATGCAGAGTCAGGGCCCAGGTTTCAGTTCCCAGCCCTGAGCTCACCTCTTTTTTTTTTTTTTTTTTTTTGGTTTTTCGAGTGTCTCTGTGGTTTTGGAGCCTGTCCTGGAACTAGCTCTTGTAAACCAGGCTGGTTTCCAACTCACAGAGATCCGCCTGCCTCTGCCTCCCAAGTGCTGGGATTAAAGGCGTGCGCCACCACCGCCCGGCTCTGTGCTCACTTCTTGTGTCTTTACGTTGCCGAGAATCCTGTGAAAGGCAGGCTTGCTCTTCACACGGACACGGATCCCAGTTTTCCACTCGGGTGTCGCCTTGTATCAGCTCAGGGCTGCGCTCCTTTGTGAGAGAATTAAGTAGAAAACGAATCATGTTGGTGAGGCAGGAGGATCAGGAGCTCGAGGTCGTCCTCAGCTACAGAGTAAGTTCATGGCTGCCTGAGCTACAGAAGACCCTGTCTCATAAACAAAAGATGGGTCAGGATGGCTGAGTGGATAAAGGTACTGGCAGCCAGGTCCCAGTGGGACCCACATAGTGGAAGGAGAGAACCAGCGCCCACAGTTGCTCTTTAACCTTTACACAAATGCCATGGCATACGAAAACCAACACACACCCATACACTGTTGTTAAATAAATGTCATGATAAAAATAAAACAAAACAGAAGCCTCTGCCGTTGCCTAAATCTTCAACTGACTACGGGCATAGCAAGCTCACACTGACTCTGTGTTCTGGTCTATCCAGGTATTAGCTGAGGTTCTCACCGGTATCCCTGCGATGGACAAGGACCGCAGTCCAGTTTACCTGGTAAGACATCCAATCACGTCTGGTTGGTTGGCTGGTGTCATTGGGCACACGTCCTCCATGTGGGCGCAGGGCCTTGTTGACCCTGACTATGTGTGCGCAGCTGCCAAACCACACTCTATTCCTAGCTTTGTTCTTTTGTTTTCTTTCTTTTTTCTTCTTTTTTCCCCTCCCAGGGTAGTAAGGGGAGGTCTTACCTTGGAGCCTAGGCTGTTTTTGAATCCTTGGAGATCTTCTTGCCTCCGGTGTCTCTCAGTTGTAGGATACAGGCACGTGCCACGCACTCAGCTGCGGCCCTGCTAGTGAGCGTCTTCCGGCACAGCCTGCCTTCCTTTTTTTTTGGCGAGTCCTTGCATGTGCTAGTAAAGCTGTCGTCGTTCATCCCATGCAGACTGTGGGACGTGCTGTTTTGCTTGACTTCACTCACTGCTTTTTCCTTTTTCTAGTTTTCCTTCGAATTTCCTGGGAGTTGACTCTTGAAACCTGCCTAGGTTCATGGTTGAGTCTTCTGTCGAGAATGCTTTGTCAGGGCTCCCCACACTGTGAAGTCACTGCTGGCTCCAGATGAGACCTCTCTTCCCTGGAGGGTCAGGAGGTAGAGCTCCGTGAATAGCTTCTGGATGCCTTGTCTCTCTGTAAACCGCTCACTGCTTCAGCTGTGCTGATTTCCCCCTCCTTGAATGGCACCGCGTTTCCCCAAAGATAAATAGTGAAGAGGTTGTGCTTACACAAGGAACGGTGTCACAAGTGCCATGCTGGTCTTAGTGGTCTTTCTTTCCAGGTACTGAATCTTTGATGGTGTCAGGCATGTTTTGTTCTCAGATCCTGAAACACCTACTTGCTGGCTGGGAAAATGGAGGCACAGTGGGGCTTACTTTTTTATTTTACTTTTTATCTCCCTCTGAGATAAAATCTTGTTCTATCGCCCAGGCTGGCTTTGAATTCCTGGGCTCAAGCAATCCTCCTGCCTTAGCCTTCTGTGTAGCTGGAACCACAGGCCTGTGACACCATACCTTAGTTTTTTAAATCCATGGTGCTAGGGAACAGATGCGGGCATCACAAACACTAGGCAAGGGCTTGACCCCTGAGCTACATTCCCAGCCCTTGCTTTGCCTTTGAAGCAAACTTCACATCCCATGGCTGGTCCTCTGTCAGAACTGGTTTCTGAGTCTGTATGAAAGGTTGTATAAAGTGGCTAGTTACATTTACATTGAATGGATGCATTTTATTGAAAAGGCTACAAACAGGGTGGAGAGATGGCTCAGTGGTTAAGAACTCAAAATGTGGGCGGTGGTGGCTCACGCCTTTAATCTCAATACTTGGGAGGCAGAGGCAGGCAGATCTCTGTGAGTTCGAGGTCAGACTGATCTATAAGAGCTAGTTCCAGGACAGGCTCCAAAGCTACAGAGAAACCCTGTCTCAAAAAACCAACAAAAAAATCAGTTTAAGGGGCTGGAGAGATGGCTCAGGTGGTTAAAAGCACTGACTGCTCTTCCAGAGGTCCTGAGTTCAATTCCCAGCAATCATATGGTGGCTCATAACCATCTGTAATGAGATCTGGTGCTCTCGTCTGGCCTGCAGAGGTACATGCAGGCAGAACATTGTACACAAAATAAACAAATCTAAAAAAAAAAAAGAACTCAAAATGCTCTTTCAAAGGACCCAGGTTCAATTCCCAGCACCCACATGGCAGCTCACAGCTGTCTGTAACTCCAGTTCCAGGGGACCTGACACCCTTACACAGAGTAAGTGACTAGAATGGTCCAAGGGACAGAGACTTGGTAAAGGGTGCATGCTAGGCAGCGAAATCAAGCCTCACTATGTAGCTCAGGCTGTCCCTAAATTTACAGACCTCTTCCTCAGTCTCTATAGAGTGCTGGGTTTAGGTGTATGTAATCACACCCAGCTTTAGAATGCTGTGTATCTTAAAATATGTAATTATAAATATGTGCATATGAGCAGTGTTATGTGCAGTAACAATAATAAGCATACACTAATTTGATATGACAAATGTAGAGGTTGACTTTGAACTCCTGATTCTCTTGCCTCCACTTACTAAGTGTTAGAAGAGGCATACACCACCATTCCCTTTTCCTTTTCTTTTTGTTTGTTTGATTTTTCAAGACAGGGTTTCTTTGTAGCTTTGGAGCCTCTCCTGGAACTAGCTCTTGTAGACCAGGCTGGCCTCGAACTCACAGAGATCCGCCTGCCTCTGCCTCCCGAGTGCTGGGATTAAAGGCGTGTGTGCCACCCCTGCCACGTTCTATTCCCTCTTTATCTGGCTTTGAACCTGCTGCGTGAGCAGTGTACCAACTGAGCTGCTGCCCTGGCCTGGTAAATGAGCTTGCGTTCTCCGCTGTCACTGCTGATTCTTCCTCCTGCTCCTTTGCAGTGATGTCATTCCTCGCACTCTTTGCCATTAGTCCTGAGCAGCAACCTCTCATAGTTTTTATTTTAGCTTTTTCTTTTCACATCTTTCTTGGTGAGATGTGTCAAATGCCTTTTGAAAAAGGCGCCTCAGCTTCTTATGGTTCTGTTTTGCTTCTGTGAGTGCTTCCAGCCCCTCCACCTGGGCTCCCAGTTCTCGCCTTCATTTTGGTTCTCTTGAAGAAGCTGCTTCCAATTCGCAGTGCCTGTGACTTCAATTTCCCCAGTCAAGGGTGACCTTCAGGGCCTGCAGTTTTCTGTCCCCTTTCACTGAGAGATTTACAGGCACCTTGGTACCAGCAGAAGCAAAAAGGATCCGTGTACATGTTAATGTGACTAATTTATGAGACTGTAGAGATGGCAGCTAAGAGCACTGGTGACTCTTCCAGAGGACCCGAGTTCAGATCCCAGCACTTGTGGCCGGTGGCTCACAGCCACCTGTGACTCCAGCTGCAGAGGAGCTGATGCCCTCTTTTGGCCTCTGCAGGCACTCATACACATGGTAGGCACACTGTCTCAAACACATGCACACACACACACACACACACACACACACACACACACATAAGTAAAAGCAAATCTTTAAAAAAAGAGATTAAATTGGGGCTGGAGAGATGGCTTGGTGCTTAATAATGCATTCCCCACTCTTTCATAAGACCTGAGTTTGGTTCCTAGAATCCTCACCCAGGGGCTTTCAGCCTTGACCCTGTAACTCCAGCTCCAGAGGATCTGACACCCTCTTCTGGCCATACGTACACACCCACATACAGACACAGGCACATATGCCTACAAATAAATAAAAATAAAATCTTTTTGTTGTTGTTTTGTTCTTTTGAGACAGGATTTTTCTGTGTAGTGCTGGCTGTCCCGGAACTCACTTTGTAGACCAGGCTGACCTTGAAGTCAGAGATCTTGCTACCTCTGTCTCTTGAGTCCTGGGATCAAAGGAAGGTTCTACCATTGCCCAGCAAAATATTAAATCTTTCAAAAAATATTAAATTATAAGTGCTGGGCATGTGGTAAGGGCTATGCAAATGTTGGCTGTTAGTAGTCACTGTGCATATATTAATCAAATGGAAGACATTTATTGGAAATGGGCTATTGATTTTTTTCCCATCCGTCACACTTAGTACTTTAGGCCCATTATTGGATTTGTATTGTGTTACACCCAGGAGTAGGCATTTCATGGTCTCATTTTCTATGGAGTCGCTGAATCTGGACGGGCAAAGCCATTTCAGATGAGCTGTAAATGTCACAGAGCAAGTCCTTGGGTGCTGAACTTGCTTGGGGACGTCACATTTCTTTTTAAGACATCTTGCCACACCTGGCATCTCACCTGGGTTTCCTCATTCTCCTTCCAACAGAAGGATTTGCTTCTTAGTGAGATTCCCAGCAGCACTGCCTCGCTCTGCTCCAGGAAGACGGGGCTGGGGAAGGAGGTGGTGAAAGAGATCTGCCGGAAGCACGTGGAGAGGAGGGCAGGGCTGCTGCCTGAGGCCTGTGCCGAAGCCTGGGCCACGGCTGTGTGTCTCTGCTTGCGAAGGCGCAACGCCAGCCTGGAGGAGGTGAGCTCTCATCTGCCTACTGCCTTACCGAGGGAGACTCACACACTGGTGATGCAATAAGTCACGTTTAGACTTGGTTGTTCTCAGCAGAACCTGCTGGGGCCAGGTCAGCAATCAGGATTGCTGTGTGGGTCATGGGGGACCCTAAGAGTGGCTGTCTGACTGGGCTGCAGGGGGTGCAGGACAGGGCCTCTCATGGGAGTCAGTCTCTTCCTGTCAGCCTGCTATCGCTCCCCATGTGTCACTGGCCCTGTGGCTTTTCCTCCACCCTCTTGGAGAGGATGACTTGGAGTGGCCTAGGGGCTCCTAAGCTGGGCTGTAATAAGTGCCCAAAGGTCTCTCACTAACCACAAAGGACATATCCACCTGAGCAATCCATTGCTGTCCTGCTGCCCTGTGTTCCTGCTCTCTGCACAGGAGAGGTCCGTGTGGTGAGCACCAGGATGGTGTAGGGTGGGACTCACTGTGTTGAGCCTGACCAGGAACTGATGCTTAAGCACTTACTGAACAGTCCAAGAGGAAGGCCCCAGGCTGAGGGAGAGGCTGTCACGTCTTTAGGTCTGGGAGAGAAGTACAAGTGGTTGAGGCATAAATTCTCTGGGCAGAGTGGCTTGTCATGAGGTTGGTGAGGAAAAGAGGCTGGAGTTAGAGGGCCCTGGAGGTACAGGGGGATTTTTCAGGTCCCTGGGACTCAGCAGGAACAGCATGTAATCATATAATCAGACATTCTAAGCAGGCCTCCCCTTCAGCCGCACACTTTCAAACCTCCAGCTAGTTATTCACTCCGCCAGTGGTCCAGTGTGTCAACTAAGACTTGGGTTGACACCACACATTGGTCTAAGTGAGATAGGCATTTGCTGCCTTTAGGTGAGTGGTTCGGATGCAGGTAGCCAGCCCTGCAGTGGCAGTAGCGTAGTACTAGGGTTGTGTTAGCTACATAGCTTCCATTTCAGGGTTCACGATGGTAACTGTCTCTAGCCTGTTGCTCAATCCGTTCTATCATATGGATCCTGGGCCTCAAACTCAGATTGTCAGCCTTGGCAGCAGGCGCTACTGAGCTGTCTCACCAGCCTACACACTGACTTTTTTTACTTTTTTATTTTTGTTTTTCGAGGCAGGGTTTCTCTGGGTAACGGCCCTAGCTGCCCTGGAACTAGCTCTGTAGACCAGGATGGCCTTGAACTCACAGAGATCTGCTTGCCTCTGCCTCTCAAGTGCTGGGATTAAAGACGTGCACCACCATCGCCTGGCAACACACTGAATTCTTTTCAAGTCACCAAGGAAATGCAATTTTCTTACTAAGGGTGTGTACAGTGAGCTGTAGAGCATATCAGTAATCCCAACTACCCGGGATGCTGAAGCAGAAGAACCACAAGTTTAAGACCAGTTTGGGCTGCAGATTGAATTTCAGGTGTGGAGGCAGTTTAATGAGCTCCTAGATCTCGTTTGTAAGAAGACAAATGAGAAGGCCCGGGATGGAGCTCCATGTTGCGTGTTTGCCTAGAGTGCACACCCAAGGCTCTGCATTCAACTCAAGGTCTTATAGATACATGCAGAAACCTGCCCACACCTGACCAGAAGAATGGGGTGCGGTAATTGGGCCACCTGAGTTCACACACTCACCTGTGGCTCTGGGTGCTGGGGTCAAGTTCAGATCTCTTTAAGGAAGGTTGCTGTTCTTCCCACCACATTGGACATTTGATTATAATGCCCAGGAGACCAAGTGCTGGCTCTGGTTTTAATTCGAGTTCCCGTCTTGTCTGTCTCCTCCCCCAAGGCACAAGTCTCCATGGCTGGGGTGGAGGAGCAGCTCCGAGGTCAGCCATCCCTCCCCTGGAGCAGGGTTTCTGAGGCCACAGGCTTGTCTTCCAATACACCAGAGGAAACAGATGACGTTGACAATTCCAGCCTGAGTGTCTCCTCTTCTGTGATGGGGACATCCTGTGCAAGGGTTGCCTCCTCTTCGCTCTCCAGGGAAGATGGATTAGCACAGCCGTCGACCAGTGTGAGACCAGAGGCTGACTCCTCCTCAGAGGTCTGCACAGGCCCACAGCCACCTCAGGATGGTAAGCTTAGAAGTATGAGGTAGCCACGCGTAATCACCCCTGTGACCCTCCCTTGGGCCATCCCTCCCTGCTTCTCATTCATGGCTCTGTTTAGTTATTCAGCATTCATAGCTCAGGGGTCACACAAAGAGGAAGCCCTGTTCACCAGTGACCGTTTATTTCTGTCTGCTCATTGACCTCTTAATTCTTTCACACCTTCATCTCTATATTGCACCCTGGTCATAGCTCCTGCACGTCCTCTGCGTGGCCTCCCTCATTCTTGATCCGCTGGGACCACTGCGTGGCCCCCCTCATTCTTGATCCGCTGGGACCACTGTGTGGCCTCCCTCATTCTTGATCTGCTGGGACCACTGTGTGGCCTCCCTCATTCTTGATCCGCTGGGACCACTGTGTGGCCTCCCTCATTCTTGATCTGCTGGGACCACCACGTGGCCTCCCCCATTCTTGATCCGCTTTGGCTTCTGGCTCACTAGTTCTTCCTCCAGGATCCAGAGAGCGTGATATTTATTGGTTTTAAAATTTAAAATATTATGTGTATGGTATTCTGTCTCTATGTGTGTCTGTGCAGTACATATGGACATCACCTGAGGAGGTCAGACACCCTGGAACTGGAGTTCCAGATGGTTGTGAGATGCCATGTGGGTGCTGGGAATCAACCCGAGTCCTTTGGAAGAGCAAGCAGCATGGGCTCTTAACTGCTAAGCCATCTCCCCAGGTTTTAATTTTAATGTATTTATGTATACTTTTTTTTTTGTTACTGGAGACTGGATATAAGGCCTCATGAGTAAAGGCAAATGAGTATCCTACCACTGAGCTATATCCCCAGTCTTAGAGTTCTTTTTAGTTTTTGTTTTTTAAATTTTGAGACGATGTTTCATGTAGCCAGGATAAGGTGAACTTTCCTACATAGCGGAGGATGACCTTGAACTCTTGAGCCTCCTGCCCTCACCTTCCAAATGCTGGGATCACAGCGCTGGTGAGATGGCCAGTAGGTAGAGCACTTGCTTCGAAGCCTGACTACCTGGGTTTGATCCCAGTTCATTACATGGTAGAAGGAGAAAATTGATGCCTGCAAAGTTGTCTTTTGACCTCCACAAACACACCCTGTCTTGCATGCACTTGCCCATGTGTTCGGCATGGTAAAGAACTTGCTGTATAAGCCTGTCAGCTTGAGTTCCATCTCTGGAACCAGTAACGGAAAGAGAGGACAGACTCCCTCCAGAGAGCTGTTCTCTGACCTCCTCGTGTATTTAGTGACACACACACACACACACACACACACACACACACAGCTGTTCTCTGACTTCATGTATTCAATGATACACACACACACACACACACACACACAGCTGTTCTCTGACTTCATGTATTCAATGATACACACACACACACACACACACACACAGAGCTGTTCTCTGACCTCATGTATTCAGTGATACACACACACAACATACACACACACACACACACACACACACACACACAGAGCTGTTCTCTGACCTCCTCGTGTATTCAGTGACACACACACACACAGCTGTTCTTTGACCTTCTTGTATTCAGTGGTACAAACACATACACACACACAGCAAAATAAAAAATATTAAATAAGTTGAGACAGAGTTTCTCCTGCACTATCTGGTGAAACCCTGTCTCAATTTATTTATCTTGGGATTGCAGGTATGTGCCACCATGCCCTGCTAGAGTGGTTTACAAAAATACACTGTATAGCTCATACCCATGGTATTTAAAAACACTTCCTTGGGGTCAGCAGGGCCTTGTGTAGTCCCTCTTGCCTGCCTCTTCTTCTTTGCCAATTGCTTCTGAAGACTCCTTCCATCACTGCACTTTGGTCCCAATATGCCAGGCTTCCTAGTGAAATAAAAGTTGAAGCCTTTTTGATGAAGAGTCACCATGCCTTATACACATGCCTCACTGGTAGCTGGGTTTTCACTACTTCTTTGGGGAAGAAGGAGATTTAGAAACAGCTGTGGTATTGTTGACTCTCACCTCTCCCCTATCTGTGGAGGGACACAGGAGCCTCTCTGTGGCAAGGGTGTGTATGTGTGGTGGGGGTTGGGGAGTTTGGGGGCTTATGGTGTGTGTGCAGACTTCCTGCAAAGGCAGATGCCATGATATGCTGCTTGCATTTGGGACCTGATCACAAACTTGATAAAAATTTTAATAGCAACACTTGTTGAAGCTGCACTTTTTCTTCTTTCTGTTGAACTTCAGCTACAGAAACTTCATGGAAAATTGAGATCAATGAGGCCAAAAGGAAACTGATGGAAAACATCCTACTCTACAAAGAGGAGAAGCTGGACAGCGTGGAGCTTTTTGGACCCTGATGACCAGAGCAGAGCTGAGGACTCTTATCCTCAACTGAATAGACTATTGTCCAGTCAAGGAAGAGGTCTTTGGCAGCCTAAGGTCTGTCAAGACCCATACAACCCAAATGCCAGCCTGGACAGAGGGAAACCTGTTTTCATCAGTGTTGAGTTGTAGGGAGAGAGGGCAGGGGACCTCAGCTTACACCAAACTCCAGGAAATGCTCTTCCTTTCTGAGACTTCTGAGAGGTCTAGGAAGTGGAGCGCCTGGCATGTGACCCAAGGATTTGCGTGGTTTTATGGTTCTAGGAAGTCCATGTTAATTAAGTACCATCCCAGCAGCGGCTGTTGTCTCAGCAGCTCTCACTCCTCCACAACCGACAAGAGCAATCCTGCAGCACCCATGGTGATTTCCAGAGTTATCACCTGTCAGTCGTGTCTGCAGACAGCTTTCTGCAAACCTCCATTTCCTAAAAGACCTCCAGCTGGTGTCTCAGTGAAATTCTTGACTCATCTCTCAAGTTCAAGATTACCAAAGCAAGGCACTTGGCAAAGGACTTAGCAGGCTTTCTGCGTCTTCAGTTGTGTAATACCCTGGTATTTATGAACCGCTTGCTGTGCCCCTTCATCCTCCCATAACGCCAATGCCCAGTTTTGTTTTGTTTTTTTAATGGAGGCTCCAGGATTGTGTGTTATTTATAGATGGGTGAAGACTCATGAAAACTAGTCTCATGTTTAATTCTGCTGCTAGCTAAGTCAGTCACTCAGTGTGTGGGAAGTCAGAGTCCTTGTACGGTAACCCCTGCCCTATTCTCCCTGCCTCAGCTCTTGGGAGGAAAGGTGCTAGGGACGTACTTTGGAAAGTGCATCTGTCCTGTTTTATAAAATAAATAGAAGGTATTAACTTCATGTTTCTGCCATGTAGGAAATGTTGATGCCATGGATATACTTTTGAAAAAAGTCACGTTGCAAGCCCTTTTGTGAAATAAAGCTCTTTCTAATTCACTATTTAAAATAATTCCACAATAGTGACCTTTTTTTTTTTTTTGGTTTTTCGAGACAGGGTTTCTCTGTGGCTTTGGAGCCTGTCCTGGAACTAGCTCTGTAGACCAGGCTGGTCTCGAACTCACAGAGATCCGCCTGCCTCTGCCTCCCAAGTGCTGGGATTAAAGGCATGCGCCACCACCGCCCGGCTGTGCGTGCATTTCTGTGTGTGGATATGGCATGCACACCACCATGTGCTTGTGGAACTCAAGAGGACGACTTCAGCTGTCAATCCTTCTTCCTCAATGTTTGCTGTTCCTCTGTTTCTTACACAAGGCTAGCTGGCCCATTTCCGTGTAGGTGCGCTTTGATTATATACACCCCTGCTACACACCCAGCTTCTGTGTGGGTCCTGGTATCTGAACTCAAGACCTCATGTATTAACTGAGGTTTTCTGTCCTGCCTAGGCCTGCAGCCCTTAAATCCCAAAGAATTACTCAGAGGTCTACATTATTTATAAACTGATTGGCCTAGTATCTCAGGTTTCTTATTAACTCTTATAATTTACATTAGCCTGTAATTCTTGTCTGTGTTAGCCACATGGCTTGGTACCTTTTTCGGCGAGGCAGTCACATCTTGTGTTCTCTGCATCTGGGTCATGACTCCTGACTGGAATTTTCCTCTTCCCATAATTCTTGTTGCCCCGCCTCTACTTCCTGCCTGGCTACTTGTTTAAACAAGTACAAGAAACAAATCTTCACAGGTCAAACTATAGTCCCGCAGCACTCATGGTGTGGCAAGTGCTCTTATCCACATAGTAGACTTAGGATATTGTCATTTCAGGATGGGTTCCATCATCAGTGCCTCCACCATAGTGGGGATGAGGTGTTTGTATAACCTGTGGATTTTACTGTTACAAATAGTGATGGCTTCTGGGATGGCTAACCTTCACTGTCAACGTGGTTTGCAATCACTTAGGAGAGAGATGTGCTTCTGGTTGTGACTATAAGGGTGTGTACAGAGACAGTTGACTGAGGAAGAAGACTCTCATTCTGAGAATGGGAGGCACGATTCCATGGGCTTGGGGTCCTGCCAGCTGAGTGCCTAGAGCCTCACGTTCTTGCCACCAAAGCTGCGAGTTGTCCTGGAATGTTGGACTGTACCTTAACTAGTAAGACAAACTCCTCCTCCCTTGTCTTTTCTTTCTTTTTATGGAGGGTGGGGGAAGAGCTTCGAGACAGAGTTTCTCTGTTGCTTTGTAGCCTGTCCTGGAACTCGTAGACCTGAACTCAGAGAGATCTGCCTGCCTCTGCCTCCAAAATTCTGGGATTAAAGCTGTGTGCCACCACTGCCTGGCGGCACTACTTTTTATTTCTAGAGATGGCCTCACTCTGTAGCCTAGGTTGAACCGGAACTCATTAGATATCCCAAACTGGCTTCCAACCCAAAGTAGTTCCCCAGCTTCAGCAACTCAAATGGATTACAGATGTGAGCCACCACGACTGCTTCATGCTCTTCTCTACCCCTTGCTTAATTTTTTTAAAATTTTAATTTATAGGCAGGATTCAGGTTGTCTAGGTTGGCCTTAAATTTGGAAATCCTGCCTCTTCTTGAGCAGCTGGGTTTACAGGTCTATCCAAAAGGTCTGGCGAGTGTGTTTGTGTCTTGTCCCTTCTCTATGTGTTTGTGTCTGTGTGTCTTGTGCCTTCTAACCCCAACTCCGTCACTTTCTGGATGTATCGCTTGGTTTCACCGAACCACAGTTTCCTGCTTTGCAAAGGATGACAAAGCCTGGTACGCAGGAATCCGGTGCCAAGGCGCTCATTCACTTCACTTCCCCAGCTGTAGCTAGGCGTTGCTACGGGGCCACGTGAAAGGCTGCACCCCACGTCGCTCCCAACCAACCAGGAAGCTTCGTGAGGCGTAGGGCCACGCCCCAGGACGCCTGCCCAACGGGAGAGCTCCGTCTTGAGCAGAGTAACGCCCCTCTCCGTTGGAGCAATGGGCGCTGTCCCTGCAGCAGGCTCCGCCCCTGCCGCACGCCGTACGCTGCACGCCGGCCGTCGGGCAGGTTCAGCCGGGCTGACGCCAGGGCTGCGGAGTAGGCGGCGGGGCGGACGCCTTGGGTGAGGGCGCGGAGCGGCGCTGGGCCGGGTCTGCTGGGCGGGTAGAGGTGACTTCCGGCGCGTGGCTCCGGAGGCCAGAGACTCCCTCAGGCCCGGGGCGGGGCGGGGCGGTGGGAGCCGAGCGGCCACCCCGCCCGCGGCCCGCCCTTGGCGTCCGGGGCCTGCGGGCTCCAGAAGCCCGAAGGGCGGCTGTTTCGCACGCTCTGGGCTCTCCGCAAGGGGCTTCCGAAGGTTGACCGCCGCGCCTCGCCGGAAGCTCCCCGGCGTCCCGGGAGTGGCGCGGTGTTGAGATAGGAGCGCGCACAGACCACGGCAGCGCGTCGTGGGGCTCGGCGCTCGGCCCGTGGGCGCGTCTCGGAGCGCTGTGGCGTCCCTGAAACCTGCAGCACTGGGATGGGCAGACGACAGGAACGGGAAAGGTCAGTGGGGGCGGACCCTGCCGCTGCCCCGGCGGCTTCCCGCTGGTGGGAGGTGAGCAGCCTCATCATCCTCGCCCCTCTGTCCCTGGCAGGTGCCCATGGCGTCGGAGCGGCGCAAGGTCAAGTACCACTGGGGCAGTACGTCGGAAGGGTGTCCCAGCAAGCGCAGCCGCCCCCGGGAGCCCGGCCATGTGGCCCCCTCCAGCCGGTCCGTTCGTAGCTGTGCGTCGCGTCCTCGAGGGGCCAGCAGTCCCCAGCGTCTGAAAGCCCGGCGGGGGAACGATGTGGCCCGCACGTCCCGGAGCTCAGCCCGCCGCCGCACCTCCTCTTCCTCTTCGTCGTCCTCTCTCTCCTCGGGCTCAGGTGCAGGCGGGGTCACCTCCCCTGGCTTCCTGATTGCGAGCTCTCGCAGGTTCCTTACGTCCAGGGGGTCCCCTCTGCACCCCACCCACTCCTCCCTAGACGAGATGGCTTCTCTCCGGAAGGAAGCGTGTAACGTTAAGGTACGTGGCGGGCGGTGACACCTCGCAGACGCAGACGATGAAGTCTCTTGCACGTGTCTTGAGAGGTGGAGGGGACAGATTTGGTGGGAGGAGCTTAAAAATTAGATCTTTCAGTTGGGGGGGGGCTGGGTGTGTGTTTCAGGGAGCGGGTTGGGGAGAGTTGGGGGCGGGGCTCAGTGTAGAGGGAGTTTTCAAATTTGGTGGCATTTGGAACTACTGGGAAGCTTGACAGTGCTTGTTTGTGGCCTGCCATCCCAGAGAGAGCCATTAAAGAGGGCTTGGGGACTTTGCCAGCTTCTGGTGGTTGTAAACGAACAGCTGAACTGGAGAATCACCACAGTGGAAGGTGGAATGTTGCTCAGGAGAGAGGGTGTAGACTTTGGTCAGGATAAAGAATTTGCCCTTGGGTCTGGAGAGATGGCAAATACTGGTCTTGCAGAAGACCCAGGTTCTGAGCCCAGGTCAGGTGGCTCACATCATCATCATCATCTATGCCCCTGCAATGTTTAAGCATGCATGGGCAGCCCGTTTATGGTGGTTCTCCAGTTGTTCCTATCCTGGGCAGTCCTAGATGGTTGTGTTATTGTCATACCCAAGGCTCCATGGTATTCCTTTATGCTGTCTATCCAGCAGTTTTGGGCCTTCCTCTTCATCTTATCCCATGCACTCCTCCAAGCAGTGCTGTGTTCGGGTATCTGCCATCATTCATTCTCATAGCATGGCCTAAGTATCTCAAGCGCCATTGCTGTATCCTGTAGTTTACTTCCTTCTGTAGATGGAGATGTTTCTTAATGTCATGGTTTTGCAGCCTATTTCTTCATGTGATGCCTAGAATCCTCCTGAGACACGCCATCTCAGACACATTCAGCTGCTGTTCTGAGGAGCATTTCATTGTCCAGATTTTGGAATTGTAAAGAAGGCAGCTCAAGCCCAGTGGTGGTGGCGCCCGCCTTTAATTCCAGCACTCAGGAGGCAGAGGCAGGCGGATCTCTGTGAGTTTGAGACCAGCCTGGTCTACAAGAGCTAGTTCCAGGACAGGCTCCAAAGCTACAGAGAAACCCTGTCTCGAAAAACCAAAAAAAAGGGCAGCTCAAGACAAGTGTCTCATATACTTGTAATTTTGTTGTTGTCATTATGTCTCTTGCTGATCAAACCTTTCCTAGTGCCCTGAATGCAGCCCTCACTTATCTGGATCTATCCACCTCTTGAGGCCTGAAATAGTTCCTGCCTTTGAACTGAGGTTTCCTCCCAGATAGACAAAGTTGTCTGTTTGCTTGAGGCTCTGATTCTTAATTACAATGTTAAAGTCCTTGTGGGCCTTCCCATGTGTTGTATTTCAGTGTTCTCCATATTTACTTTCATACCAAGGTTTTCACTGACTTCCACCACTCTGTTTACCATGTCCTGCAGCTCATTTGGACTTTCGGCAAGTAGCGCTGTTTCATCAGCGAAATGCAAGTTATTGATTCGCACACCACCTAATGCACGCCTCCCTCCTCATCCTCCAGGCTGTTGTTATTATTAATTAGTTCCTTTTCCTTTCAGGTGACTCACAACCACCTCTAATTCCAGCTCCCAGGAATTGCATTCCTCTGGCCTCCATGGGCATCTGCTTGTGCACATACTACTTACATAAACTCAATTAAAGTAAAATTTAAAAAGTGTCTTCATACTTAGAACAGTTATGAATCTCAGCTAAGGAACTGGACTCTTAGTGTGGCTTTTCACCAAAGTTGTGGAATCCAGCATGTTGATAGTCTCTTTGGTGGTTTTGTTACAAGGTTTCATTTTTTGAGACAGGGTCCCTCAATGTAGACCAAGCTGTCCTGGAACCCATAGATACCAGCTGGCTTGCTCTGTTTAAAGGCGTATGCCACTATGCCAGGCTTGGGTGGTTTTTTTCGTTTGCTAGTAGTTACCTTTGGAGGTTAACTCAAGTCTAGTTCTCAGTGGAAGCACACAAGTGGGGTTTGTAAGTTTTTG